CTCAGCCTGCTGATAAAATATCGTTGATTGAGTTAATCTTCTCTCCATGTAACTAACCCCTTACCTAGATTCTGGTAAATCATTTATTAGTTTTATTGGATTGTTAATGATGTAATAATATTTGCAAGTGAACAAAATCACAACAAGTAGTAAAGTTATTAGAAGAAACGAGCGTTGAACCCACAATAACTAATTATGCTTTTGAGTATTAAAATTTATCAAATTAATTCCTATTTAGAAATCAAACTAAAAATTTATAGAATTGACCACATAAATTAAACTAAAATGTTTATCAAAAGTAAATTAAAAGTAATAGAGAATAAACCTTAAGGTTGTAGAGATAATAAAAATAAATCTAAAGCTTTTAATTTCATATAGTTAATCCTACATAATTTATTGTTCCTTGTTATGAAATTTCAAATCCTTATGTTGATGATTAAAAAATCTTTTAATTATTCAATGTTTTCTCTCTTACAACATTAAAAATATTTTCACCTAATAATTCAACATATCTTTATATAAATTAAATTATTTGAAGATTCATTAAGTTTTTTGGATTTTTCTACTATATTAGCAATCACGGTAAAGTATTTCTATCTTTCACTCAACTAATGGTGTCTAACCCTGAAAACGTTTTATCATAAATCATCTCTTATTTTCATTATGATTCAATAGATCAAACAATATTTGGCCAGAAAAATGTAAGAATTAAGACAAATGATAAACACTTAACATGAAAGAAATTGAAAATAAAATAACTTGGAATTTGAATTGTGTAATCAAAAGTAGATTGCATCAAAACCCAAGAAAAATAACTTTAGTTCATACTGAATCCGAAATAAACCGTACTTTTATTAGAATACAAAAAGAAAAATTAAGTAGAAGAATATTTTTTTTACTGGGAATAGTTTGACAAAAAACTCCATGACAACATTTGGTTTCTTCTGGTTCTCTCTTCCTATCCTTCTTTGGTTTTAATGGTAAAAAAAAAAATCCCTTCTTTTTTATCAACTTTCATCATGGTTTTTACCTTTAATCTCCTTCTTTTTCTATGGTAAAAAATATCCCTTTATTTCTTTCTTGATTTTCTTTTCAAAACTAGTATATCATGACTCGTTACTTTGAGCTCTATTTTTGCTATTATAATGATTTTTCTATGAGAAATTCATTACCATTAAAGTTGAAGAAATTCGTTTTAGCTTTCTTCTCACACCAAGATTTTGGATATATATAGAGAAAGTTATTTCTAATTTACCAAGATATGTTCCTTAAATTTTTGGTATGAAAATTTGCTATTCTTACAATAAAAACTTTCACTTTTCTCCTTCTCTTCTTTCTTGAAATATGTACATAACCTCTTTAAAGTAAATTTCTTCATTTAATTGTTCTAAATGGGCTTTCACGAATTTAATTCTACCTATATATAAATAATTAAAAAAATTAAAATAGAAATATTCAATTAATCCTAGGTGGTGACTCATTTACTTAATTATATGATGTGTGATCATTATTTTTATCATTTGATGAGGGTGTCTATCATAAACACCACCCTCTTGCGCATATAGAGGGGTTTTCATGGAGTTAAGAGGTTGTGTTCACTAACAACATCTTTACTTTAAAAAACATTATCTAGTATTGGAATTTGATACCTAACTCTATACAAGCATGGATAAATTTATGTAAGCTATTTATTAAGAAGTTATTCTTCAGCTATGAGAGGGTGATGATGTTTGAGTTGAGGAAAGAACATCAAAGCTCTGTAAAGGTTTACTGAAGTACATTTAATGGTTTTTGTAAAAAGATTCCTAGACATTAAAGAAGATTTTAATAATAAAAAAATTATTAAGTTGTGTAAGACCTAAGTGATCATGACCATAATAGTTGTAATTTTAATGATAACAAAAAACTTAGTTTTACTAATATTGTGCTTAGGTGTTGTGATGTTAATAAATATTATTCAAGCACATAATGAGCAAGTTTGTCAATTTAATGAAAATGGATTAATTCAAACTTTGTGACATTAAATAATGGTCTTAAAAATTATTTATGCTTGGAGTTTAATTATACAAAATTTATGAAGTAAAGAAGTAAAAAGTAGCTGAATAAAAGTAAAAATTATTTAATAGAGCCTTGAGATTAGTTGACCTATCATTCTTTCTATAAAAATTAGCAAAATAAAATGGAATTGGTTGAATAGACACATAATTAGCTAAATTGAGTCCCATAACTGGTCTACATGAATTTTGACAAAATCTAGCACATTTTGGTAAGATTTTATGCAATAGTTACTTCTGTTTTAAGAAGGACTCTTTCCTAACAAATAGCTCTTTAATAAGAAAAAATTATTTCTAGTAGTTAATGTTTACTTAGATTAATTAGTTACAATAATTTCTTTTTTGGTATTGAGTGAAAATTTTTAATGAATATTTTCAATGAAATGAATATTATCTACGATAACTAATTCCTTTAATGAATTCTCTACAGCTAGTTTCTTTCTTGAACAAACTCTCTACAATGACTACTTTTATATAGAGAAAGTCATATTAAAAAAAAAGTGAAGACTATCTACAATGGCTAAATCATTATAGAAAGGATCCTTTCTAACAAAGAATTCCTTATTTATATGAATATTCTTTAAAGGATAGTTTTCCTTTACACCTATAAATATACTTAGTGAACCATATTTTATAAGGTTTGTAATGAGTGTGTAAGAGAAGAGTGTGAAGCCTATGCAAGATAAAAGAGCAAAAAATATATAAAAAAAAGAAAAATAAAAAAAACTTGTATAATTTAAACAAAGCTAAACTTGAAAATACTGTTCATTTTATTATCTGAGCTTAAGTTATATTATTTCCTCTTTGGTGAAGTGTTAAGTGTTATTATTTATAAAAGATGAAAAAAGAGATGTAAGGTACATTTTAGTTAGAGAGCGTTTGGCATTATAACAAGTGGTTGTAAAAGATTGTACCTTAATCTTTAAAAAGATTATTAGTTGATTCCAAAATAAAATTATTGTTTAATCTTTGTATGCCCTGAACTCTTACTTTATTATCATATACTTCTATCTTACAAATTCATCATTTATATATATATATATATATTTCTTATCAAGTTATCTTAAGTTTTTATTTCTCAATAAGTTCTCATCAAAGTTTGTCTCTTGGTTCTTTAGTGTATTTAAAGCATATATATAAAATATAAGACACAAAGAAAACTTGCATTTAATTATATTTTCTAACTTAGGCCATGTTTGTTTCCCCGAAAATAGTTTCTGGGAAATCACTTTCCAAACTTTTTTGTGTTTGTTTGCTATGAGGAAAGTTGGTAAACGAAAAACACTTTCCAGTAAATGGAAAATTCTTTCTGGTCAACGGAAAACACTTTTTGGTCAATGAAAAATATTTTTCAGTCAAATTGTAAGATTTATTCCTTATTATTTTAATAAACTTGAGAAAAATAAAATATTAATAAATTATTTTCCAGTTCATTTTCTATAACATTGCCAAACATCGGAAAATAATTTACTTTTCAGGAATTTATTTTCCCTGGAATTCACTTTCCCCGGAATTTATTTTCCAAAAATAAACAACTCTTACAAACAAACGGAGCCTTAAAAGAAAACACTTGTCAAATTAAAACATCGAAAAGTAATTTACTTTTTAGGAATTCACTTTCCCCGGAATTCATTTTCCAAAAGAAAACAACTCTTACAAACAAACAAAGCCTTAAAAGAAAACACTTGTCAAATTAATAACTCCACTGTCATTTCTAGAAGAAATTACTTCAAACCTAGTGTTAGAGGTACCAAGAGGAGTCTTTTAGTAAACATCATTTAACTAAATGAGCAACCTGATAAAAGAATAAGAAGTGTGGTTGTTAAACTAACACTCTTAAGATTGATTTTTTCATTAATTCTTGATTTTTCATTTTTATATATATTTTCTTATCAAGTCATCTCAAGTTTTTATTTCTCCATAAGTTCTCATCAAGGTTTGTTCACCCCCTCTAAACTTGACTCTTGGTTCTTTACTGTATTTAAGGCATATATATAAAATATAAGACACAAACTAACTTACTTATATTTGCTAACTTAATGAAAACACTTGTCAAATTAATAACTTCACCGTTATTTCTAGAAGAAATTACTTCAAACCTAGTGTTAGAGCTACTAAGGGGAGTCTTTTAGTAAATATTATTTAACTAGATGAACAACTTGATAAAAAAATAAGAAGTGTCTAACACTCTTAAAATTGATTTTTCCATTAAATCTTGATTGTATTATGTATAAAGTTATGCATTATTGGATTATTGGATGGTTGATCAAGTCATTGAGCTCATGTGGGTGAATAAACTCATGTTTCAATGAAAAAACTAAATAAGAAAGAGAAGGATCCTTTACCAAATATTAGAATCAATTTAACAACCAAGTATATGGTACTGCTTATGCCCTAGCTAAGATGAGGAAAATGAGTTTGGAATGCAAGTCTATTAAATTGTTGTTAGCAATGACATGTCGTATGTGGAAAAGGTAGACAATATTGATATCTTCATCGTATAATCTTTACTAAAGACTCCATATTTTTGCAATTTTATCAATCTCTTGAGCTTTAATACGGAAGCCACCTAGCAATTGTAATGCCCATATTTTCCAGGAACAATATGACTCGTGTTTTACTACCATCTGGTAGAAAAAAATGGTTAAAAAGAAAGATAACGGTGTGCGCTTCATCATTGCTAATTGTTATATAGAGAAGACCAACCATAAGCGTCCACTTTGTGTGGAGAACATGGTGAATGATTGCTACATTCGCATAAGCTTCATTGATAATGGTTTGTCTTTGAACATCATGCCTCTTACCATTATATGAGTTCTATGCTTCGATCAGAGATGAACTATAACATCAATAACTATCAAGGCTTTTGAGAGCACATCTTTTCAAATTCAAGGCCTTGTAATGGTGGATTTCCAAAAAGGACTAATATGATGGTAATACATGTCAAGGGTTAAACAGTTTTTTATTCTTATAATTTATTTTAACTTAAATAGAATATAGAAACATTCATTCCATCTTTTATACCATTACCAAAAACAACTTCTTCATCTCTTGTTTCGTCTTATCCCCTCTACCCTAGCTATTTTCATCTCTTCTAACCCGAAACAATAATCACCTTATAATCTTCCTACAACCATTCACCAACTTCCTAATTAACAGTCTAACATAAAAAAAGCAAACCCATTTAGCAGGGAGAGAAGAGGTTTACAATACAGAAGTAATCATGAAGCAATATTGTAACGAATGTGCTTTAAAAGCACAGGGATCACAATATCCGGAGAGCTCAACTGAGGCAGATGACCATCCGATGACATGACTTCAACAATTGATTCACCACCAAGATTTTGGTGCAAATATTCAGCAGCAACCACAGGCACTGCCAAGTCCTTCATGCTCTGCAGAATGTGGCAGGGCACTGTGACCATATGCAGGATTGACCTCATGTCACTTTGGAAGATGGTTTGTGCCACGCTAAGGGCAATGTCTGGCCTCATATTGAAGAGGGTGCGGCTGAATTCCTGCACCGCTACAGAATCCATGTCTCCACCCACGGCTAGTGGGGCAAAACCTGAACACCATGCTTTATAATTGTTTTGCATCGCTTCAAATAATTGGTCTAAATCTTCTTGCTCAAATCCTCCATAGTAATCAACATCATTCAAATACCTGATGAGAAGAAAATTGACAGGCCAAAATTTCACAATCGATTTCGTTTTTTTTGCAGTGTGATTGTGGTACAGAAACAGATACCTAATTTGCAAAGAGGAAAGTGCTGGCGAAAAGCCCACAAATCCAACCACGAAAAATATAATATAAAATCATCATAAACAACTCCTCTTTCAACTACCTAAACTAATAATTTATTAATTTTAAAATTAACTGATACTTGGTAAAATATAAAGAATGAAAAACAAGAGAGCGATCCATAGCAAGTTAGCAACGAATATTAAAGAAGTAAAACTGGGCAGTATAATCCATAAATGAACGGATGCATAACAATCAAACACCGCTACAATAGCAGGTAAAGTGATTTAACGAAATTAAATCTAGGCAGACTACTTTAGATAGGCGCGTCTTCTTTTTTTGTGATTAAAATTAAAAGTAGTAGCAATTACGAAGAAACAAAAAAAAAATGATCAATGATTAAAAAGTCTTCGAGGAACATACCTTGGAGAAGCAGAAAGCATGACAATTTTTGAAAAGAGATCAGGGCGACTGATAGAGGCAATAGCACCAATAATGCAAGAAACAGAGTGAGCGACAAGAATACAAGACTCAACTTTTAACTCCTCTAAAATGGCAAGCAAATCATAAGCATAACCTTCAAGAGATGAGTACCGATTGAAGTCAAAGTAATCTGGGTTTGTAGTTCCAGCACCCATGTTATCATACAGAATAACTTTGTACTCATCAACGATGTGTGGAATCAAGTGCTTCCATACAGACTGATCCGTCCCAAACCCATGAGCCAAAACTATCACTCGCTCTCCTGACCCCAAGATCTTCACGTTATGAGCTTCTTCTACAATACCCATTTTCTTTTTCCTTTTTTCTTCAACTAGAGCTGCTGCTTTCTTTTTACTCTTTAATTGGGTTGGCTTGTGTCTGATGGCGTGGAAGTAGAGTGCTCTCTTTCATACATTTAAAGATTAAAGACTTGTTTACTGGGCTTCCAGATATTTAATGAGTTATAAAATTAATCATAGTTCATGCAAGTTAGCCGAATATTTATATTAATAAAAAAAAAAGAAAAAAGAAGGAGGACAGGAACGAGATGCATGTGAGGATAATTTTATGGTAAGATTATTGGGTTGTTCTAGGGTTGTGGTGCATTTTTAGTTTTTACAATAAATATATTTTTATATTAATAAAATTATTTTTTTTAAATGATTGTAAAAACGTTAAATACGCCACCTTGTGCACTTTATTTGATGTATTCGAAAAATATATTTTATAACAACTTGTTTTAAGATTTAAATTTAAAAAATAAAAACAATTAATAATTTTCTTAACTCGGGATCAATTCCTAGGTGGTGCTGGTGACACGTATTGCATTCCCATATCGGATGTCACCTCTTAATTATGCAGTGATGAAGTTGGGATGCAGAGGGTTCTCTGGTGCTAGCTGATGTGACCTTACGTGGTTTTACCGTTTATTTTTTTAAAAATTGATATTTTTTAGTTTTAAATTATTAATTTTTTTGTGTTTTTAAATTATTTTAATATATTAATATTAAAAATAAATTTAAAAAAAATAATAAAAAAATAATTTTAATATATTTTTAATAACAGTATATACTTTTTTTTTTTATAGCACTGAAGGCAATTAACTGTATTCAAGCCGGCAAGATAAATAAACTATCTGCAAAGCAATCTCTACAGGATATAAATATTTTTTATTTTTTTCAATGTCACATGGCCACATCCAGTTGCCCAGCAACTCCTAGAGAAAACGTATCTTCGTAATTATTTATTTGGTGATAAATAATTAATCATTTAATAATGGAGACGAGCACTCGAGCAGCTCCCTTCTCCGGCTCTCAGCGTATTTTTAATTAAAAAAAAGGTATAATTATGTTTTTATCCATAATTAAGTAAATTAATCAAATAATTGAATTAATTAAAAACCAATATAAAATTAATAAAACAAACGAAATGAGTTATTCAAATAACTTGTATATTTAAGTTTCCTGCAATGAAATTTATTTAATTATTTGTAATTACCCATTATTTTATAGACTTCTCACATGATAAAGTCATGATTTATAGTATTATCTAATTTTATTACTTGATTTTATAATATATTTAATTATTTTAACACTAAATATTCATTTATATTACATTATTAGTATTAATATTGTGTTCAATATGCTGCAAGGCTTCCTAATATATCTTTTGTTTGGAGTAAACTCCTACATCAAAGTTCAAATAATACACGCACCAAGTTAAAATTTAAATTACAAAGCATTGCCTTTAAAAGAGCTTAAAAAAATAACAATTAACCTTATCATAAAACACTTCAAGGGCTTAAAAAAACAACAATTAACCTTATCATAAAACACTTCATACAAAAAATATAAATCTTCATTGTATATATCATCCCAATCAAAAAACATATCAAGAACATTGCACTTTGATTCCTTAATACCATTGACATTAAAATCTAAAATTCAAGATCTAGAATTATAACATAATAAATTAAATTAGAAGATATAAAAATAAAAAATTAGTATTTTACCATCAAACTGACTTTAAACTAATTATCATCTGTTTTATAGATGTAACTTTTCACCAAATTCTTCAAAATAAAAAAATAGACATGTTAGATAATTGAAAACACTTTAATTAATAAATCACAAAATAAAAGGTGCAAGTTTATAAAAAAAATTACATGTCTCTTCAAGGTTTTCACAGGTTTTAAAATAATTTATCTAGGTTCTAATATCAGTTAAAATTGATCTATGATGCAACCAATTTTGACAGCAAATAAGTGTTTAAACTGTTGTTAGAGATAGAAAACTTCAAAATTGATTAAGCATACGACTATCTGTGTTAACAACTAATTCATAAGCTATTGTGGATATATAAATAGCTAGAACATGTGTTATGTCACCTTTGAAAGTGTCTTATATTTTGAAGCATTACTCTTCCACCAACCCAAAATATATAACTTATCATCATTCGGATCCTCATAACCATCAATCAAATACCTTTCAACCTCATTTTTATTTTCTACACTATCCTCCTCTTGTTTTGAATCGAGCTAAAATGTTAACATTTACCTCTATATCATCAATAGTATTAACATCTTATTTATGTCTATTATTATCCACCACTTCATTATTTTTCAAATAAAATATATATAAGCTCACCAAAGTATCTTTCACCTTATTTGTTAGCAATTGTGCTTTGTCATAATCATACAAGTCACCAAAACAAAATTTGACATATTTTGACTTGAAATGTGGATTTAAGACATTAGCCTCATATAACAAAAAATTCTGATTTGCTTCACAACCCCAATACTTCTTAAACTTTAACATCATATTCATCACCATTCCACTTAAAAGATTATCTTTATTTTTACATAATTGCAACAAGTTTGTATGAATGTAAATAAATTCATTGAAGAAATAATTTGATGTGATATGTAATGAGCCGTAAAATCTCAATATAACCATGTAAATTTTTTTTAAGAACTTTACCAAAGTTTTAGTATTTTCCCAATCCTCCAACCTAGGTGGCCCTGTGTTCTTTTTATTCCCTTTTGAATCAACCTCCAAAACGTAATTCATATACCTAGGTTCATTTTCACCTAACCTCATAAAAACCTTTTCAAACTTTTGAACAGCTTCTAAGATAAGATAAGTTGAATTTCATTAAGTTGCAACATCTAAACACAATGATTTTTTGCACTTTATATGTAAATTTTCTACACACTTCTTAAATACTAGTTATCTCGAAGGTGAAGATCTCACAAACCTAATAGTATTTAAAATTTTAATAACTGAAACATTAATCTTTTTCAAGCTTTCAGACACAATAAGGTTTATAATGTATGTACAACAGCTAACATGTAAATGCTCATTTTACAATATATTATTTGGCCAAACTTTCATCATAATTTTTAAAAAGAAAATAGTTCCATTATTAAAGCTTGTATTATTGACTGCAACAGTTAAAACTTTATTAATCCCCCGCTCTAACATGAAATTCTTAATAACTTGACCAATTGTCTCACCCATATGATTGGAAACTTGACAAAAATTGAGAATCCTTTTATGTAAATTCCACTCATTATCAATCCAATGAGTTGTTAAACATATATAGTTAATATTTTAGATGGATGTCCATTTATCTATTGTTAAATACAATTGACACAACCAAAAGATTGATGTCTTTTTCCAAGTGCAAGATTGTCGAAGTAATAAATAACCCGGTAAGACTGAGGTTGAATTAAATGGAGGTTAATTGTATAAATTATAAATGACAATAAAATAACAACAACAACAACAATAGTAGTAGTAGTAGTAGTATTAAATCATGTCACAACTAATCATTTGAAAAAAGATTAAATAAAATACCAAATGCAGTGAAACTAACAAATAGCTAAAAAGAAAATGCAAAATGAATATCTAATACAAAATTCTAATAAGCAAAATGAAAGGGGAAGGGGTGTACTTGACATGACTAAAAGATTGATGTCTTCTCCCAAGTGCAGAAGTGTCGAAGTAATAAATAACCCGGTAAAATCGGGGTCTAACCATAGAGAGGTGAATTGTATAAATTATAAATAACAATAACACAACAATAACAACAATAACAATAATAATAGTAATAACAATAATAATAATAATAATAGTACTAGTAGTAGTAGTAGTAGTAGTAGTAGTAGTAGTAATAATAATAATAATAA